ATACAAGTATGTATATATATATATATATATTCTTTTGCGCGTATATACACTAGATGTCTGTATACGTATGTATATCTGTGTGAGCGTGCACTCTACCACAGATACGCTTCTAGTACGTCCCTGCCCAACATACATCCAACATACATCATATCTGCCATAATCACCTACTGCTTACAGTGTTCGCTCTTCTCCATTCATTGGGAAACCACTTCATGCAGGAAGCCATTCTTCGTCCAGTAAGAAAATCAGTACCGAACATTCCCAGACCACAGTTCAAAAGCCTGTTTGTGGCCCTGCAATGCCTCCGCAGGGTGTTGATTTGCATCGCGACTTTGCTCTGGTACACGTAGTATGATGTTCGGTACTTTTCGTGTTATTGCATATCACCCGGTGTATCAGAGGGTTTATGGTTTAGAGTTTAGGACACCATGGGCCTTGTAGGTATCTATGGTTCTGAACGAGACATGTACAGACACATACACACAGACAACACATACGAGTCGCCTCCACCGAAAGGCACGAATGCGTACATTTGAACTATGTACCCACATACGTAAAGTGATAAGGGCGAGGTCAACATTAAATTCACACCTTCATATCGGATGGCACATACATAACACGCACACTCACGCCGTTATTATGTATCTACATGCACATCCAACTATTCACACGACATCCAACTATTCACACGACGTATACACTCTGAGACAACGTTCAACGGGCCAAAGAAGGCGAGAAAGAGGTAGTAAGTCCTTTGGAAACTGACTTGAAGGAATGGCGTGTGTATGTGTACATATATGTATGTATGTATATATACCTATGTGTATGTATGTATATATACCTATGTGTATGTATGTATATATACTATGTGTATGTTTGTATATATACCTATGTTTATGTGTGTATATATACTTATGTGTATACATGAATGTATATAAATGTAGGTACATATATATATATATATATATATATATATATATATTGTGTGAATGTATGTTCATGAGTATACCGTTGTACACCAAATCAATTCAAAACCTTGTGCCCGTCCTCCTTCCAGGTGCAAGCGGGCCTCAGCGATGATGATTTTGTGGGCCCGGCAGTACCCACCACAGCTTACAAATCATCTGACGACACACTCGAAGATAAGTTGCGTATAATAGAAGAACGCATGCGTAAAACCAAAGATCAATTGAACAACAAAGGCAAAGAAGGTGACGATGCGCCTGTACGAGAGGCCTGGATGATGGAGCTACCCCCGGAACACAGTCTGTCGATAGCCTCAAACCTTACAGCCAGGTGTGTGTGTGTGTGCATTTGCGTGTGTGTGTGTGCATTTGCGTGTGCGTA